ACAGTGGCCAACCAGTTCCTCTGGAGGACCAACAACAGGGCATAAAGGCAGATGCCTTCAGATGAACCTAAGAGCCCCGCTGGATCAGACCAGTGGTCCATCACATCTAGCATCTTGTCTCACACAGTGGCCAACCAGTTCCTCTGGAAGGCCAACAACAGGGCCTTCCCCTGATGTTGCCTTCTGGCCATCCAGCTATTTCTTAACCTTGATTGGCAACTCTTGTCAGTAGTTTCCTTGGGTTTGCACCACTTTCCCTTATGGCTCTTGTTCATATTGTATGCTCTAGTGTCAAAGAAGTGGGGCAGATTTTCTGAAAATCAGCTTTTTCCCATAGGAAATTTTCCATTTTCATACAGTTAAGAACAAGGATAGGATGCTGTTGCCAGTATAGTATTAGGCGTGGCTGTCAGTTTCTAAGTCACAAAGAATACTTTTTCTGGAAATGATGCCTAGGTATTATGTGAGAAAGCACATGGATGTTTTATTGATTTGCAAAAAGAGGGAATAAATCCACATCTATATTGCACATTTTTTAAAAATCCAGTTATGAATCCATCTAATTGGTTTGGATTTGATCTGCGCAGCCAATAAATATATATAATTTTAAGGGGTTTATTTATATGGTTCCTCTCACACGGTAGAATGGAGATTGTTAGGGGATTTTTGTTCAATACCAGCACAACCCCCTTCCAAATTCAATCTGGGAGAGGAAAACTTACTCAAGGCATACGATTTTTATTTAAGAATTATCACTCTCAATGCCAGTCAGAGAGAGAGAGAAGCAACCTCCCATCTGAGATGGCTCACCGAACTGATACAAAATTCCGTTTTTATAGATACGAGACGGGAAGGCGGTCAGAGCCCGTTACTTTGAAATGCATCCATACATTCTGTTCCCAAACATAATTAACTCTTCCCCATTTCGAGTACATCTACATTCCTGGCAGGGAAGAAAGGAAAACAAATCATACATTCCGAGAGGTAATCATGGTACCAACCCCTGACTGGGCGATGAACATTTTGAAATATAGAATCAGGTGGGTAGCCGTGTCAGTCCGAAGCAACAGAACAAAGTTTGAGTCCAGTGGCACCTTTAAGACCAACAAAGTTTTATTCATGGTAAAAGCATTCGTGTTCACGCACACGTCTTCAGATACAATGACTGGTAACTTCAATTTCGTTGCATCTGAAGAAGTGTGCGTGAACGTGAAAGCTTATATCTTGAATAAAACTTTGTTGGTCATAAAGGTGCCACTGATTTTGAAATTTTGTTATTCAGTCGCACAATCGAGTCCGACTCTTCGCGACCCCATGGACCAGATCCCGCCAGGCCTTCCGGTCTTCCGCCGTCCTCTGAAGTTTGCTCAACTTCATGTTCGTTGCATCTATGACACTGTCTAACCATCTCATCCTTTGCCGTCCCCATCTTCTTTGACCTTCAATCTTTCCCAGCATCAGGGTCTTCTCCAGTGAGTGCTCCCTTCTCATTGGGTGGCCAAAGTATTTAAGCTTCAGTTTCATTATCTGGCCTTCCAGGGAACAGTCAGGGTTGATTTCTTTGAGGATTGACTGATTTGATCTCCTTGCAGTCCAAGGGACTCTCAAGAGTCTTCTCCAGCACCATAGTTCAAAATAATCTATTCTTCGGTGCTCGGCCTTCCTTATAGTCCAACTCTCGCAGCCATACATGACTACTGGGAATACCATTGCTTTGACCATGCGGACTTTTGTTGGCAGGGTGATGTCTCTACTTTTTATCATGCTGTTTAGGTTCGCCATCGCTTTCCTCCCAAGGAGCAGGCGTCTTTTAATTTCATGGCTGCAGTCACAGTCTGCGGTGATTTGATGACTAGGGAGCCATGTACCTGATGTTATCTGCAGGTCGTCTTGAAGAAACAGGCTCTGAAGAACTGCTCTTCCAAAAGCAGCATCAGTTTTAGCACAGTGCATCACCACCAGGAACTTCTCAAAGGCTGAAGTCAGTGAACCAATAGCAGACCTGCAGAGATATGTCACCAAGTATCTGGAGAAAGTGGCAGAATCAGGAGCCATAATGACCCTTTCACAGTACTAGCTTGCTTGATACGTTCGCATCAAACTTTAAAGCCAGGCATCTTTCCCGGCATTTGAAAGACATGTTTGCACTCACTGGAGAAAACCCTGATGCTGGGAAAGATTGAAGGTCAAAGAAGACGGGGACGGCAAAGGATGAGATGGTTAGACAGTGTCA